ATTTAAAGATGTTTTGAAATTATTTTCGCAAAGTCATTCTTGGGGCTTTTCCAAAAAAAAGCAGCAGTTGCGTTAATGCTGTGTAGAAATATTCAAATTAAACATCAAATTTAACAAACAAAAGTCAAAATTTAATTTCAATAAATACTAAACGACAAAAATTGTGCGAGAAGTTGTACAAGGGTTAAGACATCAAATTTTCAAAATGAATAACTCAAAAAACCTCCCAAACATAATTTTTGTATTTTGTTCGTCTTTCGCACTTAAAAGCGATTTTTTACTTTCCGATCTTAAGCTAAACAGCGTTATTTTAACCTTATCAGCGTTCACAACTTGTAGAATACGAAAATGTCGGCGTTCCAATTTGCCTCCCCGTTGTCGTTTTTTAATAGATAAATTAATCGCCGAAGTAATTATCGTCTAGATGATAGAACGTTGAACAAAAGTTCTAAAGCCATCTCCTCCAAAAAGTCGATGACGTCATCTCAGAAAATTATTAAATATGTGTTTTGAATTATCATCTTGCTTGTACTTGAGCGACGCACAATTATTTCCTGCAATTGTTTACACAGAATATCTTAAAAAGTGAACGTGTATGCAGTGATATTTCAATTTTCTCTTTATTACGTTGAAAAAATTTCAAGTAAATATTTTGAAAATGCGTTCCTGGATTTGTCGTATTTAAGTAATGTTCTTTAAGTTTAATGTAATAATTAACTGGCATTCAGTTTTTTTAAGTTCGTTTTGGAAAAATTTCATCGTATTTTCCTGAAATCATTTTTGTATCAAAACTATTAGATTTTTTTTAAATTCTCCGTGACATGGTAGTTTGGTATTTGTGGTGCTTCAAAAGCAAGGAAGGTTATGTGTATTTAATTTCGATTGTTGCTTCTGGAGTGTAAACTAGGAAAGTGTTACAACAGCGTCCATTTGATGAATGGCCAATTTCATATTTTTTGACGTTTCATAGTTTCTAGAATACGAAAAGTAGGTTTGCCTTTTTCTCCGTCTATTGTGTGTCATCTGCTGGTGATGTTTTTGGACAGTTAATCTCCAAAACTACTTTAGTATTGCGAATTTTCAAATCGAACGGAAGAAAATTAAAGATGTTTCGAAATTATTTTCAGAAAGTCATTCTTGAGGTTTTTCCAAAAAAAAATAGCAGATGTGTTAAAGCAGTGTAGAAATATTGAAATTAAACATCAAATTTAACAAATAAAAGTCAAAATTTAATTTCAATAAATTCAGAACGACAAAAATTGTACGAGAAGTTGTGCAAGAGTTAAGACATCTTCAAATTTTCAAAATGTTCAATTTATTTTATTGGTTTAATCAGGATTTACAGAACCAAATGCTTTGAAATCTTGGAGATGTTTTAAAGTTATCATAAGCATGGTAAATTTTTTATCAAAATGTATTTGTTCATCCCCCCTAAAAAATTGATGATGTCACCCCAAAATTTTGCTGAATAAATCCTATCTAAAATGTACAAAATATGATGAGTCTGTACTTTATCATTCCATTCCATTCATATTTTTTAGATTTTCTTAAGAGGTGGCTCAAAAAAATTAATGAAGTCAATTTATTTTATTGATTAAATTAAAGGCAACACTTATTATTAGTATTACATTGGACCAACCCAATTTGGTAGACACAAAATTTTTTAAAGTAAAAACTCGGTTGAAACATAGGGGTAACACGCTTATTTACATCTACTTTAACATTACAGACGTGCATTTGTTTTGTGCGCTGACTAGGTTCCGCGAATGTGGTATAGACATGTTTATAATCAACCAATTGTGAATTCCACCGTCAAAAATTAAAATAAAACCCAATGTTTTATATAATAAGCGGAAGTCGAAGCAATAATGGTCGTTTTTTTTACAGTTTCTCTGTTTGACTCTCACGTATGCTGTTACGCTTGTCATCTTAAATTAAGAATGCTTATACATACACGATTTTCAGTTCCCTCTCATATTACACGCCGGCGCCGTATACGTGAGTAAATTGTTTCGTTATTTTATTGATTATGACAAATCAATATTCAAAACGACCCAGTTCATTTTCCCGAAAATTTGGTGTTGGATGTATGATTGTTATTCATACATACGTACCGAAAAAGATTGATATAAATGAAACACAAACATGTGCTGTGTAACACTGTATTTACTTGTTGTTGACGGTTCGAAGTCTATGTACAAAGTTGTTAAAATCGGAAGCGATACATTGCAGGTAGAAGAGAAAGTTGGGGACGCTTGTTGACAAGGGTTGCGGTTGGTAGGTAAAACCGAAACCCGAACATTTGGGAATACAATAATTTTATTCTTAGTATTACACTACATCTATCCCAACTGATATACGTGTCCTTGCAAAAATGTTGATGACGTCATCGCATTTTTTTTTTAAATTCCCACTACAAAAATGTAATGAGAAAAAAAAACACAATAGGCATGCAGTCGCCAAGTTTCCGACAGCGAGGGAAGTACTGTCTAAACTCTTTAGACCAATTTTTTTTCTTTATATACATAGCCATCTTTTCACAATAAGAAACTTAAAACATGGTTAAAATGGTACATTTTTGCAAGGAAATATGGATTTTGTAAGTTTCATGTTGTGAAAAAAAGTCTACACATACTAAAACAAAGAGGAAAAATGTAAGCCCTCCCACCCACCCTGTCTCAATTGTAATGATTTTTTTTATTCACCGTGAACCAAAGGAAGCGAAGTTTATCTGCAAATTATTATTTCTTTAAAAGAAATTAAAAACGTGTTGTTCAAAGAATACTATGTATATCAAGAAAAAATCCGAAATATAAACCCCACCCACCCACCCTATCTCAATTGTGATGATTTTTTTATTCTTAAAAACCTGAAACACGTTCAAAATGGTAAATTTTTGTAAGAAAATATGAATTTTGCAATTAGGCTCCGCCCCTAGGTCTGCCAACGAATGAAAACTTCATTACTATTTAGATCAGGGCAAGTATGGGTGGCGCTTAATCTTTGAATAATAATATTCTCTGAATAACACGATACTCAAAAACATGTCATACGTGGCAATTTCTTGTCGAGAGAGAAAAACGATTTTGCAATTAAGCTCCGCCCCTCGGCTTACGACCAATAAAAAAATCATCAGAATTGAGACAGGGTGGGTGGGCGGGGCATATATTTTGCCTTCTTTCTTAATATACGCAGTCGTCTTTTCATAACAAGAAACTTAAAACATGTTTAAAATGGTACATTTTTGGAAGGAAATATGGATTTTGCAATTATGGGCGGAGCCTAAATACAAAAATTGACATTTCCTAATACAAATTTTCCATTTTAAACATGTTTCATGTGGCGAAAAGAAGTCTACACATATTAAAACAACAAAGGCAAAATTAAATCGAAAAATCAAAGATTTTATAAAACGAAAAATATGAAAATTAGAAAAGTTGAAAAATCGAAAGATTGGGTAATCGAAATAGTACAAAATCGAAAAAATAAAAATTGAAAAATTGGAACATGGCCTTAAAAAATGTCGATATCGATAAATTTAGAAATTGTAAAAATCAAAAAACTGTAAAAATCGAAAGATCAAGTAAATGAAATGTCAAAACAACGAGAAATCGAAAATCGAAAAAGTAAAAATTGAAAAATTTGAACATAAAAATATCGATAAAACAATTTTATCAAAGCACTGAAGGACTGAAAAATCGAAAAATATAAAAATGGACAAATTGATAAATCGAAAAATTGAAAAACCGAAACATCGAAATTAAAAAAGTCGCAAAATCGAAGTATCAAAAGAACGGAAAAATCTAAAATAAAAAAAAATGGAAAAATTGAAATATAGTGGAATTCAAAAATCCACAAAATTGAAATGTTGAAAAATTTAGAAATCGAAAACTTGACAAATCGAGAAATTGAAGAATCAAATGATCTTAAAAACTGAAAAACCGGATGTGGAGAAATCAGAAAACCGAAGCATAAAAAAATAAAAAATTACTAAATTGAAAGTTCAAAAAATTGTAAAATGGAAAATTTGGAAAATCGAAAAATGTAAACATTTTTATATCGATTAATCGAAGAATCAAAAAATTTAATAATGAACAAATTGAAAAATCGAAAAATTATAGATTTTAAAAAGCAAAATACCGACATATTGAAATCCGAAAAGTCAAAAAATCGAAAGATCGAGCAATCGAAACATCAAAAGCACTGAAAAATTTAAAATTTAAAAAATGGAAAAATTAAAATATTAAAAAATTGAAAAATGCAGAAACTAAAAATTCCCGAAATTGAAATGTTGAAAAATTGAGAAATCCAAAATTTGAAAGTCCAAGAAATTGAAAAATCAAGAAGTTAACAACAGCGTTCATTGGACGAATGGGCAATTTCATGTTGTTTGACGTTTCATGGTTTCTAGAATACGAAAAGTAGGTTTCCCGTTTCGGTCCGTCTTTTGTGTACCATCTGTTGGCGATTTTATTGGACAGATAGTTTAGTTTTGGGAATTTTCAAACGAACGGAATTGCGTTAATGGCAGGGTAGAAATATTGAAATTAAACGTAAAATTTCACAAATAAAAGTCGAAGTTTAACATCAATAAATACGGAACGACAAAAATTGTACCAAGAAATTGTGCAAGAGTTTGATATTAAGATAAAAAAATTTCAAATTCTCGTTTTGTGTAACGATTAAATAAATATATTGTGATGTCGATCTGTGTTTACAATATTTCGCAAAATTTTATAATCCACTGGTTGTTTTTACAACCACCAATTATAATTATTTAGTTAAAGTAAAGAGCAGCAAACCCGCCGCCAGTTTCAACAAACCCATTTTTCCGAAGCAAGAAATATTTTGAAATTTATTAGCTCAACTTGTACCAACAAATAAAGGTAAAATGTTGCGCTGCTTGACGAATTAGATAACTCGAAGCGATAAGATTACTCTGTGAAACAAACGTGCATTCCAGCCGGAAAAACAAGCGAGCTCATTACGAACACGTTAAAATCGTGTTAAAAATCCAGAACTTTTCTCGTTTGCCCGTACCGGGTTTTCCGTCGAGAAATTTCCAACCATGACTCAAGGCACAAACTGATTGATTTCTGCGCTACTTTTAAACAATATCAATGCCGGAGCATCGCGTGTCGCCCATCCCCTCAAATTGTCAGTGTAAGCGTTGACAGGTAAGGAGAACAGCGCGCCAACTCCTCGCCGATAACAGTGATAAAAACCCCGGTGGTGTTTCGCAATTATTTCACTATAGTGCGTGGATCTTTGGCGTGTGTAGTGTGGCGAAAAAATCTTCATCGTGCCAATGGAACAGTTATAAATATGTGCACGTGTTCCTCTTGACTCATTGTGAGGTAGGACCCGAAAATTTATTTTTCGGTTTTTTAACCGCTAAACAATCGAAACTCCCCCGACCAGATTAAAATATTTGCTTTGACGAAAATCGCGTCATAGACTTGTCCTTCGACATCGAATCTGATAAAAATTGTTTATTTTATCGAGAAAATGTGGCCAAGCGTACTCGCTTTTGTCGTTATTTATTCACTAGTTACACACGTCATTGTAGGTGCAATTGCACGCCCGAAATTAAGGAAAATTAGCTCACTTTTACGAGCCATAAAGATGGGGGAGATATGTTCATTTGAAAGGATTCGCGGGTTTAAAATAGCACACCAACAGTTTTATTACTTTCTCTAGAAAAAAATTCAGTTTGTTGTGTTTAATAAATTTTATTAGTGTTTGCTAGAAAAGTGTGTGGGATAGGTAAAACGTTGCGAAAATAGTAGCCAATGACGGGTTTGCAGACCCCAAATTGTCACATTTAAAAGTACACTGATAAGATTACCGCATACATTCTCGAAATTACTTAATAATGTATCATCTTCAATTAATTTTTGTCTTATTAGAAACACGTTGGCGTTGTTCAAACCGTTTTTGTTTTGTTAATTACCAGGATTACTTTACAAAAAGAAGGGTTTAAAAATAACACCCCCGCTTATTCCAGATTTATTATCGAGAAAGCATTTAAGCTAAATATTTGATTAATTTGTTATTGATCTGTTTTTTCACCTGTCGCATGATCATCCGTTTCTTAAAATTTTTATAAACCCTCGAAAATTGATCCAGAAACCTTTTTAAAAAATGAAAAGATCGTGCTTTCGGGGCCAGTTTCGATAATGAAAAAGTTTGGTTAAGAATTAAACCTTGATTTTGAGGTAAGCAAAGTCTGCGTCTTTGGTCAGTTTTTGGGTCGTCGAACTACTTATTGTAAGTTCAGCCATTTGTTTCGTAGCGATAAGATACACATTGACGTTTCTGTGTCGTGAAACAAAAAAAGTAAATTCTAATAGAAATTGGTGTGACGATAGCACGCGAGTTTTTTTAACGTCACGAGTTTACTGAATGTGATGATTTAGACACATTATTGACGTTTGATTAAGATACGTTTTTCAGAGTATGGAATTTCGTGGTTTTAGACGTAAAAGTTTCGATACTTGAAAACGGCGCAATGCAATGGAAAGTTTCACTACACCACAAGTGCGATCTGAATATGAGTTGTATTGTAATTATTATTGCCTGTCGAGCACAACCAATTAAAATTCGTTTCTGGACTCGAGCCAAAGCTGATTTTTCGCTCGTAACCTGCACTTACAAGGCCAAAGTTCGTTTTTTGCTTAAACGTTTTATTTTTTCGTCCAGTTGTGTTTCAAAATTTCTGCAATGGGGTCCGAGTTTAAAACTGAAATTAGAACCTAATTTAATCCTTAGATCTGAATACGAAGCCTCATTTTGTCCTTCAATCGAGTTTAACTCGATCGGTCTTTGGACCAGAATCAATACCAAATTTTGTTTAGAACCTGACTTCAATAGCTTGTGCCGTCCTTGGGTTCGAATTAAGGCCAAATTTGGATCCAGATGCAGAGCGTTGATTTCAAAATCAAATTCGTCCTTGGACCCAAAGTCAAAATTTTCGCTTGCAACCTGAACTTTGAAAATTATGTTTTTAGATCCGAATACAAAGTATCTTTTTGTCCTTGAATCGACAATAGAAATTCGTCTCAAGATCAAAATCAATACGAAATTTGCTCTGAACCCGACCTTCGAAAAGTGTGTGCCGTCCTTGGGTTCGAATTAAGGTCAACTTTGTCCTTGGATCCAGATGCAGAGCCAGGTTTTGTCCATGCGTGGAGTTCAAAACCGAATTCGTCCTTGGACCGAAGTATAGATTTTCGCTTTTTTGGGTTTTGCCCGAAACTTGAACTTATAAACCCAAATTTTATCCTTGGACTAGAATCAAAGTCATCTTTCACGCGTCAAAGTTGAATTTTCGCCTAAAATTGGAGTTGTTGCGGCCAAAATTTCTGCTCTTATCATTTTTGACCTAAATTTTGGTCTTTAATTTGTCAATTTGGACACCAGCGGGCCTAAAAATGGAAGAAACTTTTGGTCCAGAAGTCCCATGAACCTGAAAAAAATCGTCATCAGTTTTTTGTGGGGCTTCTGACCCATTTTGGCGGGAAAATTTGAATTCGTGCGCAGACTCAGGTCTTGCTCCACTTGATTATGCGCATGCTCGATTCTAGCCTTGTGGGCGCGAAAATTTGAATTTCGGCTTGAGCATGGGATAAAATAATCATTTTTTTGTGGAATTTCGTTCAGAAACAAAGCTTTGTGTAAACATCATCATGACTCAGTACCTTTTATCTGTAACATTATCGGGCAAAATTTTATCTACGATTAACAAACGCTAATTTTATCAAATGCGCGAAACCCTGCTACATTTAATCTCTTTCATTCAGGTCCATTTTATGAAAACTAATGGTGTGTAAACACATTCATACATCAAATTAACCAAAAATATTGCCTTGAGTTCGTGCTGCTGTATACAAATATTATTATCACGTCTATTACACTCACTGAACAAGTTTTTAATTCCAGGTTAATTCCTCACAAAAAACAAAATAAACGAAACTTGTGCTTCACATTTGCATACTTGAATAATTCATGTAAATTTTTTTAAGCTTCGCAGTCGTATAACCATCATAAAATATCGAAAATGGGTTACGATTATGAATGTGTTTTCACGACATATTAGCAGCAAAGCAGCGCATAATTCACCCAAAAATGATTGATCGCGAATTTACGCCAAATTATACATAATAGCATGGGGACCCGAACGTCGCCCTGGGGTACAGCGCGCCCAAACTCCAGCCAGTGGCTTTAAATTCGGCATGTGCCACCAGCAATAAACGATACAAATTACGATACGCCCACGTCACGACAGCACCATCGATTCCATCGCATGATTCAAAAAACAAATAATCTGGAAGATCGTCGCGTTACGTGACCTGGAGGAAGTGTTTACAAACAACCTCGTGGGAGACAAGTGCACACACCTTAATTGAAACGTTTCATTAGTTTTGATTTATTTAAAGTGGCGCTTTACAGGTGGGCGGATTGTAATCTTCGTGTCGCCCCTTTTGTAATCGATAGCAGAATGGAATTCTTGGACTAATGGCCAAGTTATTGATTCTTCATTAGTTTTTGTTTTGTTGAATGGCGAGGAAACAAATGGGCCACGTATGGGTCAGGTTCAAATGGGACGCATTAAAAGTAAATAATATATAGAACGGTGATATTCATTTTTATTTTTGGTATTTATTCAGTAATAAGCATGTGGTTGGTGACGACTTGGGTGTAGTGAGTGATAAAATTCACGTTCGACGACATAAAAGTTTCCTGGAAACTTAATGCCGCGGAGAGTAGCTGACTCAGCCGCGCAGTGCGTCCTTGAAGGTTCAAACGCACGGATTTGTAGCAATTAAATTAATGCATAATCCTCCCACTTTATTTCGGGAGTCGGCTACTTAGAATTAGATAATTGTGTCGTGAGAACCCCATTTATTTATTTAGTAGTGTGACAGGTGCTTGCCTTCTCACACTATTGACGAAATTGATTTTATATAATTTCTTACGTGTATGTATTCCCATAGCGTCACAATCAAATTGGTACGAATTTTTATGTGCACTTGAATTCGTTCTGAAGGTGATTTTTTTTGCAGGACGGTCCATGGCCGGGTTATGCGGATTGGCTGGCTCAGATGCTCGCCTCCCCTCAGTTCCACGCCGCCGCCAGCACCGCCCCCGCCTTCGGCATCCCGATCCCTTAATCCCGTACTTAAGCCTAGTACTTAATAAATAGCCTTTTTTTAAAAGAATCCACTAATTTTTTACTACCTCTGCAATATTTATACGTATCGATAATATAGTTTTTAATACTTTTTTCGACTCTACACTACTACATTTTTGTAGTACGAAGGGATATTCGTGGCCTTATTATACCTGATTAAAGAGAGAGAGAGAGAGATAGATATATATGAATTAAGTGGCCTTATGTTTGCATTTATGTCCATATCATTGTCCCTATCCTGATCCTAGAGAAGATGATGAGCAGAGCGTCTTTTAGGAGCAGCAGGACACACACTTTAGGTAAGGACTTCACGAGAAAAATTTCCAATATCGTGCGTTATCCATAACAATGACGTGCACAATCCAAAGCTATCGATCAGCACCCAATTTTCGGCGTGTGTTCTTTTAGTTTATTAAACTCGGGTGTCGTATATTATTAAACTGCGTGTAACGAGCACCCTTATTGACCACACACAACGTAAAATATGTAAAGCTGTTACTCCAATCGTGATTATTGTCAATAACGACCGGCATGTAAAGAGCTTTCAGTGTACACAGCATTGTTTGTTTGAAATCGAGGTTTTTAGTATTACGGTGGCTCCATTGTTTCTGGGACGATGTTTATTCTTGCAACACGACACAAATTAATGGAAGTAGTGGAAACGTACTTCCGGGAAAATTCAAACAGATGCTTTTTGCTTTTATCAAAATTGATAATGGGCGTGGACCCGGAAGCGTCACTAAATCAGAACCGGATTAGGGAATGGGATAACATATTTCTCAGAGCTTTTATGTGATAAATCACGGAATTATGTTTTTAACTCTTCAAAAAATAACGCCGGGAGTCCCCGAGTTTCTTAAAAATTACTTCAATAATAAAACACCATTGAACCGTGACACTCTTTTCAGCTCTTTCAGAATATAACACTTGGAGCAGCCGAGATTCTTTTAAACTCTTTAAAAAATCACACTTGGAGTCCCAGAGATTCTTAAAATAACTTTAAAAGTAAAACACCAGGGGACCGTGACACTCTTTTAAACTCTTTCAAGATTAAAACACTAGGGGACTACAAGATTATTTTAAACTGTTTGAAACATAACACTAGGAGTCCCTTAGGTTCTTTTAAACTCTTTAAAAAATAGCACTGGGAGTCAGATTTTTAAAATTACTTCAAAAATAAAACGCCAGGAGACCTTGACATTCTTTTAAATTGTTTGAAAAATAATACATACATAAATGACCCAAAAGAATTTTTTAAATTCTTTCAAGAATGAAACACCACGGGACTATAACAATCTTTCAAACTCTTTGAAGATTAAACTACTAGGGGGCCGCGAAATTATTTTAAACTCTTCAATAAACAAGATATAAGGCCCCCCGAGATTCTCCTAAACCCTTTAAAACATAACACTAGGAGCCCGCGAGATTCTTTTAAACTCTTCAAAAAATAGCACTAGGCGTCCCCGAGATTCTTAAAATTACTTCAAAAGTAAAACACCAGGGGACCGTGACACTCTTTTAAACTCTTTCAAGATTAAAACACTAGGGGACTACAAGATTATTTTAAACCCTTTGAAACATAACACTAGGAGTCCCTCAGGTTCTTTTAAACTCTTTAAAAAATAACACTGGGAGTCAGATTTTTAAAATTACTTCAAAAATAAAACGCCAGGAGACCTTGACATTCTTTTAAATTGTTTGAAAAATAATACATACATAAATGACCCAAAAGAATTTTTAAAATTCTTTCAAGAATGAAACACCACGGGATTATAACATTCTTTCAAACTCTTTGAAGATTAAAATACTAGGGGACCCCGAAATTATTTTAAACTCTTCAAAAAACAAGATATAAGGCCCCCCGAAATTCTTCTAAACCCGTTAAAACATAACACTAGGAGCCCCCGAGATTCTTTTAAACTCTTCAAAAAATAGCACTAAGCGTCCCCGAGATTCTTAAAATTACTTCAAAATTAAAACACCAGGGGACCGTGACACTCTTTTAAACTCTTTCAAGATTAAAACACTAGGGGACTACAAGATTATTTTAAACTCTTTAAAACATAACACTAAGAGTCCCCGAGATTCTTTTAAACTCTTTAAAAAATAACACTGGGAGTCAGATTTTTAAAATTAACTTCAAAAATAAAACGCCAGGGGACCTTGACATTCTTTTAAATTGTTTGAAAAATAATACATACATAAATGACCCAAAAGAATTTTTAAAATTCTTTCAAGAATGAAACACCACGGGATTATAACATTCTTTCAAACTCTTTGAAGATTAAAATACTAGGGGACCCCGAAATTATTTTAAACTCTTCAAAAAACAAGATATAAGGCCCCCCGAAATTCTTCTAAACCCGTTAAAACATAACACTAGGAGCCCCCGAGATTCTTTTAAACTCTTCAAAAAATAGCACTAAGCGTCCCCGAGATTCTTAAAATTACTTCAAAATTAAAACACCAGGGGACCGTGACACTCTTTTAAACTCTTTCAAGATTAAAACACTAGGGGACTACAAGATTATTTTAAACTCTTTAAAACATAACACTAAGAGTCCCCGAGATTCTTTTAAACTCTTTAAAAAATAACACTGGGAGTCAGATTTTTAAAATTAACTTCAAAAATAAAACGCCAGGGGACCTTGACATTCTTTTAAATTGTTTGAAAAATAATACATACATAAATGACCCAAAAGAATTTTTAAAATTCTTTCAAGAATGAAACACCAGGGGACTATAACATTCTTTCAAACTCTTTGAAGATTAAAATACTAGGGGACCCCGAAATTATTTTAAACTCTTCAAAAAACAAGATATAAGACCCCCCGAAATTCTTCTAAACCCGTTAAAACATAACACTAGGAGCTCCCGAGATTCTTTTAAAAACTCTTCAAAAAATAGCACTAAGCGTCCCCGAGATTCTTAAAATTACTTCAAAATTAAAACACCAGGGGACCGTGACACTCTTTTAAACTCTTTCAAGATTAAAACACTAGGGGACTACAAGATTATTTTAAACTCTTTAAAACATAACACTAAGAGTCCCCGAGATTCTTTTAAACTCTTTAAAAAATAACACTGGGAGTCAGATTTTTAAAATTAACTTCAAAAATAAAACGCCAGGGGACCTTGACATTCTTTTAAATTGTTTGAAAAATAATACATACATAAATGATCCAAAAGAATTTTTAAAATTCTTTCAAGAATGAAACACCACGGGATTATAACATTCTTTCAAACTCTTTGAAGATTAAAATACTAGGGGACCCCGAAATTATTTTAAACTCTTCAAAAAACAAGATATAAGGCCCCCCGAAATTCTTCTAAACCCGTTAAAACATAACACTAGGAGCCCCCGAGATTCTTTTAAACTCTTTAAAAAATAGCACTAGGCGTCCCCGAGATTCTTAAAATTACTTCAAAAGTAAAACAATAGGGGATTACAAGATTATGTTAAACTCTTTAAAACATAACACTGGGAGTCAAATTTTTAAAATTACTTCAAAAATAAAACGCAAGGAGACCTTGACATTCTTTTAAATTGTTTGAAAAATAGTACATACTTACATAAATGACCCAAAAGAATGTAAAAATTCTTTCAAGAATGAAACACTAGGGGACTATAACATTCTTTCAAACTCTTTGAAGATAAATACTAGGGCACCCCGAAATTATTTTAAGCTCTTTAAAAAACAAGATATAAGGCCCCCCGAGATTCTTCTAAACCCTTTAAAACATAACACTAGGAGCCCCCGAGATTCTTTTAAACTCTTTAAAAAATAGCACTAGGCGTCCCCGAGATTCTTAAAATTAATTCAAAAGGAAAACACCAGGGGACCGTGACACTCTTTTAAACTCTTTCAAGATTAAAACACTGGGGGACTACAGGATTATTTTAAACCCTTTAAAACATAACACTACGAGTTCCTCAGATTCTTTTAAACTCTTTAAAAAATAACACTAGGAGTCCCTGAGATTCTTTTAAACTTTTGGAAAAATAAAATTAGGAACCCTCGAGATTCTTTTAAACTCTTTAAAAAATTGCACTAGGAGTCCCCGAGTTTCTTTCAAAATTACTTCGAAAGTAAAACACTCGGATACTACGAGATTATTTTAAACTCATCGAAAAAGAAGACATAAGAATCCCCGAGATTGTTTTAAAACCTTTAAAACATAACACTAGGAGTCCCTGAGATTCTTTTAAACTAAAGAGTTGTAAAGACAACATAACACTAGGAGTCCCCGAAAATTCTTTGAAACTCTTTAAAAAATAAGACTGGGAATCCGATTCTTAAAATTGCTTCAAAAATAATACATGCCTAAGGGACCCAAAGGATTTTTAAAAAATGTTTCAAGAATGAAACACCAGGGGACCATGATATTCTTTTAAACTAATTGAAGATTAAAACACTTGGGGACCCCGAAATTATTTTAAGCTCATCAAATAACAAGATATAAGACCCCCGAGATTTTTCTAAAGGGACCATGATATTCTTTTAAACTCTTTAAAACATAACACTAGGAGTCCCTGAGATTCTTTTAAACTCTTTAAAAAATAACACTAGGAGTCCTCGAGATTCTTCTAAACTCTTTAAAAAATTGCACTAGGAGTCTCGGAGTTTGCTTTAAAATTACTTCAAAAGTAAAACACCAGGGGACCGTGACACTCTTTTAAACTCTTTCAAGATTAAAATACTAGGGGACTACGAGATTATTTTAAACTCATCGAAAAAGAAGACATCAGAACCCCCGAGATTGTTTTAAAACTTTTAAAACATAACACTAGGAGTCCCTAAGATTCTTTTAAACTCTTTAAAAAATAGCTGTATGAGTCCCCGAGATTCTTAAAACTATTTCAAAAGTAAAACACCAGGAGACGGTGACACTCTTTTAAACTCTTTCAAGATTAAAACACTAGGAGACTACGTAATTATTTTAAACTCATCGAAAAAGAAAACATTAGAACCCCCGAGATTCTTTTAAACCCTTTTAAACAACACAAGGAGTCCCCGAGATTCTTTTAAACTCTTTAAAAATAACACTGGGAGTCCGATTCTTAAAATTACTTCAAAAATAAAACGCCAGGGGACCTTGACATTCTTTTAAACTGTTTCAAAAATAATACGTACCTAAGAGACCCAAGAGAATTTTTAAAATTCTTTCAAGAATGAAACACCAGGGGACTATAACATTCTTCCACACTCTTTAAATATCAAAACACTAGAGGACCCCGAGATTCTTCTAAACCCTTTAAAACGTAACACTAGGAGCCCCCGAGATTATTTTAAACTCT